AGGGACCTTTACAGGAGCTTGGTCTGTGGGATGATCAGGAGGAGACTGAGGTTGAATGGTTTACTTTGGGATATTTTTTTTTTTCTCTCCACATAAAAGCTCTGGGGAAAGTCAAGTTGTCCTGCGTTAACAGTTTTGAAATACAACCGTCTTGACCTACCTCGAGGTCCTTGACAGCTGCACGCTGCCCCTGCCTTGGCTGGCTACGGAATTGCAGCCATCTGTTGTTGCAAACTTTGTGTCTATACCAGTAACAAAGCTAGGTTTTCACTAGAACTCATCATCCACAACAGTCATTAAAATTGTGGATAATTGCTGATGATATGTAAGTGCTGTCAACATCCAAGTGAAGGGTCAAGGTGTACTATCAGAATGTTTCATTGGAGGTATGGGTGGAAGCTCCGCTTCAACCTCCCACTGCCCCTTTTGGCACAGGGTTTATATCTGAAGTTGGGTGGCTTGGTGTCCTAACTAGACTGGACTTTAGACCTAACTAAACAATACTAGTGATAAAGTCTTATTTGAGCTGGTTTTATAGTAAAGTTTTGCCAATTGATGAAAAAATGATTTCAAAGAAACCAGCTGGAAGCTTCCATGTACATGTATTTTTTGTCGGTGCAAATTGGATTACACTGGCATAGGCTGAACTGAGTAGCTCAGTGAAGGAATTCCCTGCAAACTTTTGCACCAAATTACCAAGCTGATTTCAAATAATACCAATGGTTTAGATTCATAAAGCAGTCCAGATGTTATATCCAGCAGCTGTATCATGCATACTGAGTGACTGCACCTCAAATTCAATCTGCCGTGCAACTAGACAGGGTAGGCAGGCCACTATGGCTGGCATAGTTTGTACTCCCCTCAGTCACAGCTTGAGATGATTCTTATGCTCAAGAAGTAAAATCACTAAAATATTGTCTCTAATTTCTTTTTTTTTTAATCCGGAATATATCTTACTTACATCTGGAAATTTAATACAAACATCTCTTTCTGGCCCTATGGGGAGTATGTACATACAGAGCTAGAGTGCATTGCTATTGTACTACAGCTTTATAATGATACTGAATATTGCAAATACTCTTTGCAGATTGTTGGTTTTTTTTAAAATAACTATTTCAGAAACTTATGTTGCATTTACACAAGGTGATTCCTTTATGCTTTACAAGGATTGAGAAGAAAAACTATATGGTATGACACACCCATCTTGATTCTGATCCATGCCTTGTAATTACAGCATCTTCATGATGTCACAGCACTGGTGCAAACACAGATCAAGTGTTTGCAAACTCATTTCTCCATGCAGAAGTGAGCAAATGCAGAGGTTTAGATTATTAGAAGTATACAGATTGAGGAACACAAAGCACTACCTAGAGCAAGGAGCACCTCGAAATGAAGTCCTGTTTTTTGTAGTTTGCTTTTAAAAAACTTGGGCTTCTGTGTCATTTTTGAAGTTTGTGACCTGTGTCTCTGGAGTCATTTGATATTATGTACTCTGATGGGGACTGATGTGACAACTGTAAACATGGATGAATCATGAGTAGCTCTTCGGAAGATGATGCAGTTCCCATTGGGTGCTCATCTCCCTTTCCCTGCAATTCCAGGCCCTTGTCTACTCTTCACAGTAATAAAAGGCTGTTGGATTGGAGAGCATCTAGAGAAAAGGCACTTTTTGAAGGATTGGAAACTTAGTCAATTCCTTTAATTGTTCTATTTAATCTGGCTTCATTAATGTGGGGAAACACTTCCCCATTAAATTTTTTTTTCACTGGTAAATGTAGCTGGTATATAAACTAAAATATTTTAATGAATGTTGCAAAGCAAATGCTGGGGTGCTAGCAGCTAGATTGAGTCTTTAAAATGTAGTTACTAGAAGTTGCTGATTGCTGGTTTGGTCAGGTGTTACAGTGCCAGGAGGAAAAAAATATACAAGTTGCAGCTAGTCAAGCATCTCTTTGTGCTGCATAATATAGCAACTAAAAGTAATGTTTTTGTTGGAGATCCAGCTCTCCTATTGACTTTTTTGAGGGGAGGGGCAGGTGGAGTGTCTTCGTGACATGTTCTTTTTCACTTTACACAAGCTACACTCAATTCAATTCTGTTATAGGAGTCCTTTACTAGTCACTTGCTTGGTTTGCCATCCCGCCAGAAGATAACTGGATGCAGCTCTTCCAGCCTTGCTGTTGCACAAGTCTGTGAGTCTTCTGTGTATTTAAGTGGGTCTTGGCATTTGGTTTTTTTTTGGAAAGAAAGTATGAGAACTCAGAGGTATCTGGGGAGGTGGGACAAATGTGTGTTTTCTTAACATTTTGATTACAAGAAGTTAATTATTCTTCATTATTAGTAAATGTGTACTTAAAAGCAAGTGTACTAGAGGAAAAACTAATTGGTTTTGAAATCCTGTAAACAATATTATTTGCAGATGGTATTGTAGAGTTAGGTTTGGATGTCTTTGTTTACCCTGAGGACATGGACTGTTTGAAGTTGGATTTGTCCAATTGGAAGTTGACAAGTAGCAGTGAGCTGGAACTATGGAGGAGAGGGAAATGAGTTTTATTCTAAAAAATACCTCCCTGGCACCGATGAAGTCGTAGTTTGATTTATGTTTGAATGCTTGTTATTCTGAATTTCATATCTTCTGTGGCTTTTTCCTAAATGTCTGCTGAAGGACTCATTATTGTTTGTTCGTTTCCTTTTTGAAGCAGTTAAGTGGATTGTCAAGTTGGCTTGGAAAAAGAGTACAACCCTGCACCAAACCAAACAACCCATCAGAAGAAGATGTTTCACGTTGTTCAGTACCGGCCTTTAAGACTAATTACCCAACACAGTCTATCTAGCAGGTGCTTAAAACTGATGCTTTCAAGACCTGTTGCATTTACACAGATATGGAAGTCATGGTTCTCAAGCCATTCTCTTGTTGGAAAGAAAAATATTGTCCTGATGGGACCTCCAGGTGCTGGGAAAACAACAGTTGGGAGAATAGTAGGTCAGAAACTAGATTGCCCTGTCATAGACATAGATGACGACGTCCTTGAAACAACCTGGAATATGAGTGTGGCGGAAAAACTGCAGGAAGTTGGTAATGAGCAGTTTTTAGAAGAGGAAGGAAAAGCCCTGTTGAATTTTTCAGCATCTGGAAGTGTCATTTCCCTTACTGGGTCAAATCCAATGCATGCTGCTGGCATGCAGCATATGAAGAAGATTGGAATAGTTGTGTATCTGGATGTGCCCTCAACAGTCATTATGAGCAGGCTGGAATCAATGAAAGTGGATCACGTTGTGGGCCAGTCTCCTGGTATTTCTCTCAAGGATATACTTCAGTTCAGGAAGCAGTTCTACAAAAGGTGGTACGACATCCGTGTTCTTTGTGGAGGGGACACTTCAGAGGTTGTAGCAGAAAAGGTACTCGATGCTCTGAAGAGATACCAAAACTCAGAACTGGAAACTTTCATTTCAACGAGGTCTAGTAGGTCTGTAAGGAGTATGGAAAAAGACTCTGGTAAATATTTCAGTGATGTTGTTACTGAGGGCCTAGCCCCTGATGGAGGACTCTTTGTCCCTGAGAGAGGACTTCCAAAGTTCACTGCTGGGGAATGGCAAAGCCTAATAGAAGCAACTTATGTCGACAGAGCCCAGGTGATACTAGAACGATGCATACATCCTGCTGATATTCCTGCTTCTAAGCTCGCAGAAATTATTGGAACTGCTTATGGAGAAAACTTTACTTGCTCGAGAGTTGCCCCAGTTAGGCATCTGGCAGGCAATCAGTTTCTCCTTGAGTTATTTCATGGGCCAACAGCATCATTTAAAGATTTTGCATTACAGATGGTACCGCATATATTTGCATACTGCATTCCCAGAAGCTGCAATTACTTGGTTCTGGTGGCCACTTCTGGTGACACGGGAAGCGCAGTCCTAGATGGCTTTAGTCGTCTCCATGACGCAGACAAACAGAGAATTGCTGTGATGAACTTTTTTCCCGAGGATGGAGTAAGCCCAATTCAAAAATCACAGATGCTTGGCTGTCAGAAAGAAAACGCCTGGTCAGTAGGAGTCAAATCTGATTTTGATTTTTGCCAAACAGCTATAAAGCAAATCTTTATTAATTCTGATTACACTGGCTTTCTTACAGTAGAATATGGAACAGCTTTATCTGCAGCAAATTCCATAAACTGGGCACGACTCCTTCCGCAGATAGTTTATCATGCCTCTGCATACCTTGATCTTGTTCATCAAGATATTATTCCTTTTGGAAGCCCTGTAGATGTTTGCATTCCTACAGGCAACTTTGGCAACATATTAGCCGCTTTGTATGCTAAAATGATGGGAATTCCAATTAGAAAATGCATTTGTGCTTCCAATGAAAACAATGTTTTGACTGACTTCATAAGAACGGGTGTGTATGATTTGAGAGGAAGAAAATTAATTCACACTTTTTCACCCGCAGTGGATATTTTGAAGTCCTCCAATCTTGAGCGATACTTGCACCTGCTTGCTAATGAGGATGGACAATGGGTGGCACAATTGTATAACCAGCTGGAAAATCAGGGGCACTTCCAGTTACAGAAAAACCTACTTGAAAAGCTTCAGCAGGCCCTGGTGGCTGGCTGGTGCTCTGAGAAGGACTGCCTAGCTGCCATTCACTCTGTGTACAGTACTACAGGATATATTTTGGATACGCACACAGCTGTTGCTAAAGTAGTTGCAGATCGTTTACAAGATAGAACTTGCCCAATTATTATTTCATCTACAGCTCATTATTCTAAGTTTGCACCTGCTATCTTGAGGGCCTTGAGGATTGCAGAAATAAACCAGAACCCATTAAGTCAGCTTCACTTGCTGAGTTCTTACAGCCCTCTGCCTCCAGTACACTGGGGCCTGTTAGAGACCTTGAAAAAGAGGGGGAATGAGGATCACCAGGTCTGTGCTGCTGATACGAGTGTGATGATGTCCCATATAGAAACCTTAATTCAGAATCATTTTATGAAAGTCTTCTGAGCACTGATTGGATATCCGCTGAGTCAGTTGTGATACCTTCTTAACAAGCTGCATGTGTTAGTAAAGTCACGATTCATCTGGCCTGTGCCCAGTCCACAGCATAATGTCCACAGTTCTGTACGCAGTCGTCAAGTTTTCAACAGCATTTGTGAGTAATGCATGTGAGATTTCTAGTAGTGCTGAAAGGTTGTGAATTGAGAGTAGAAAAGACTGGAATACTTTTTGGCAGGTCATACGTAGTAGAGACACCAGTACTGCCAGCTTTCCTTTGCAGTGCTGTCTCCTTCACAAGCCTGAAGCCTTCTCCTTGTAAGGAGAAAGATAATGAAGCCTGACCTTTCTGAAGCTAATAGCTCTTGTTTTGTTGCAGGAATGATGCAATAATTTTGTCAGTGAGTGATTAGTTAAACTTGAACTCACTTCACTTTGGGCACTGGAACATAATATGGTATTGTGATAATGTTCATATGTTACTAATAAGGG